AATTTTCTTATAGAATGTGGCCTGTAGAATCCATAATTTCAAACAGTTCCAAGATTGGGCTACTAGTTCAAAAGTTACAGCCCTTTGAATTTTTTTTCGAAATTGGTTTCTAGTCTATAACTTTTGATTGAGAAGTCTGATCGAAAAAGTACGAATTGTTTTGGATTCTACGCACCAAAATTAATAAGAAAAAGTGTTTTCCCGAGAAATTTTGGTGTAGTCGATTTTTGGTAAAAAAGGAAGGTTATACACTGCCTTTTTTTTGAGCCCCGAAAAAAAAATTGTCTCAGATCGACCCGGAAAAAAAATTTTCTTATAGAATGTGGCCTGTAGAATCCATAATTTCAAACAGTTCCAAGATTGGGCTACTAGTTCAAAAGTGAGGAAGTACAAATGAAACTGCGCACTTTCACATGAATGCATAAATAAATACTGAATAAAATAATATGAAGGCAGAACTGCATGTAGAGTATAACAAACAAACATGATACAAGCAGAGTTGGACTGGGTCAAGCATAGAGTGACCCAGTTAGTTTACTGACCCAGTTGACCCGGTGACCCAGCTTGACCCGGTGACCCAGTTTGACCCGGTGACCCAGCTTGACCCAGTGACCCATTTTGACCCAGCTTTACTCAGTGACCCGTCTTGACCCGGTGGCCCAGTAATTAAATTATTGTTAGGTATCATCCAAAACAATTTCAAGTAACTTTTACCTTTAAAAAAAAAAACTTCCTCAATAATATTCGGCAACAAGCACGTAGCCCAATTTCATTCAAGAGAACTAATACCTAAAAAAATCAAATGAATTTGTTTATAGTTTGCAGTCAAGTAGTCAATGAAAGTATTTAGAGAAAAGATTTATTTGGATTAAGCTAACTAGTAGAAAAAAATTAAATGTGAATGGACACCTGTAAGCAAACTGGTAAGCCCTGAAGCAAAGAAATAACAGTATTCTAATACATTTCGGGACATGGAAAGTTTTTTACGGCAGTATTAAAGCAAACATCACAGAAATGGCAGTTTTCAAGCAATCTAGTGTTATTTTCAACAAACCAGCATTTCATTTATTTCATAATCTGTACACTTGAACCGAGGGCACTGACTTAACTGCGTTATTCGATCAAACTAGGCGACTGGGTCGAATTGGGTCCCCGGGTGAAATTGGGTCGCTGGGTCAAACTGGGTCAAGTTGAGTCACTGATTCAAACTGGGTCACTGGGTCAAACTGGATCACTGGGTCTAACTGAAAAGAGTATGACGTGACCCAGCGACCCAGTTTAATTTAGTGCCCCAGGTGACTCAGTTGACCCAGTCCAACTCTGGATACAAGTAGCGGTACATACAAAACAAAGCTTGGAGCACGCCACATTCCTTCGAACGCATTTTATGCGAAATGCAGGGTTTTGTATTTCGGTATATAGGTTGCTCTTGGTCCAAGTAAGAAGATCAAACGTCACCAAAACTACAGAACTCGACATAAAAATTCAGAAAGCAAGAGTTTATCTGTCGAGTGCTTCGATTGTCTCGGTTTATTTGTTATTCGCCTTATCATAGTGATTGTCGAGACATGTTTGTCCAAAAACACTTGATCTATCTTTCCTACACGTGTTCCCAATTTAAAGAGTAGATTTCTCTCATTCTTAATGATGGACAATGTAAGATCGTTTCCAAACTGTAAAAATATTCATCCAGCAAATACACAACAACATAAAGGATTCGGTCTATAAGTAGACGTGTGTAAGTGAGGTGAACATAAAGAAAATACGAGCATAATACATAACGTAGAAAGAAACTATCTTTATCAATCATTATCACAGATAAATCTATTACCTAAGAAGAGGTATATAAGCATGTTTTATTTGTAAAAAAACAAATTGTTAAAAATGAAACTCCTAAAATTGTGCCTCGTCGCGACCTTCCTTGGGGTTGCAACAAGCAACACCATTCAACCAATAGCGTTCAACTTTAGCACCTTCAACTTCCAACGGCTCTTCTCCAACAATGACTTCAAACAACTGCTAAGGTAAACCAAGTTCGCATTTTTGAAGTTAACTTCAAAAATTTCCAGAGCAAACAAACCGGAACAGGTGGCAGTAATGAACAAGTTCATTGACGAAGTGGTGAAAGATCTGGACGGTGTCCTCAAAAAGAAAGGTATCGATCCACTTGGTTTACCCGATGAGGTAAAGTCATTCGAATGGGTACGTAAGGGTAGGTTTTGCGAGCGAGGAAAAACGATTGTTGTCTTTACAGAACGCATTGTGGGGGGAAGTGTCTTTGAAAAGCGGTAAATTGACAGGAGTTGGCAAAATTCAACGTAATGGAGATGTCACATTTAAATATCAATTCCCCAACTTGAGAGTAACCTTTCCTTTAAAGTTCGACCACATAGAGGTAATTCAAACTAAGTACGTATATTGCACCGCACAATGTTTATTTCAGATAAATTACAACTACCGCGCGCAATTTGTTGGTCTAGGTCCTCAAGGAGAGTTGTACGGTTCCATTAAAGGAGCGGCATTCTTTATCGATGTTGAGATAGATGTTACAAAACTGCAGGCGCGAATTATCAAGCATGATCTTGAAAATTTGGGGTACGTATTAACGATGCGGGAAAACAAAAAGGGTAATTTTAAAAATTGCAGAGACCTTTTTCTGTACCTTAAGGGAAGCATTTTGGAGTGGTTCGCAAACGTGCTGGTATGGGTTTTGAATCCAGTTCTGAAACCCATTATTCAGTTGGTGCTTTACAATATAACCCACGGCACGATGGATGGGCTCATCGGAAATTTCAACGGAATGATAAAGTCGTATCTGGACAGAAGTCAAATATTGTGATGAATGAATCTGTTAATAAAGGTGTTATTGGGTCCTTCTGATAACGTTCAAGATTGACGCGCGAAAAATTCTGATATTCCCGGTTATCGAGTTTTCAAAATAAACGCCGATAACACTCAATTATCGGCAAAAATATGCAAGGTATCGAAAAAAGGTTTAGGGTTCTTCAATGTCTACCAGGCACTAATAATTTTAATTATACAGGGTTGATCATAAAGGCGTGGCACACCAAAACTGCATTTTTTAAATGGAACACTCTGTATATTATTCGATATTTCAATTCTTATTCCAATTTTAAGCAAAAGAAGCATAATATACCCAAATTCAATTGTTTCCGGGTTATCGAGTTTTGAAAATACACTACCTAGGTATATTATTTTAAGATTGATTGAATAAAGAACAATATAATTAACGATTACAAACATCACATTCGGCACCACAAGTTTTTCTTAAAATTGGAAGTAGAATTGAAATTTTGAATAATATACAGAGTGTTCCATTTGAAAAAATGCAACTCCTTTATTACCAACCCCGTATGGAATTTCACATGCCCATTTTGGCAGACATTGATGGTACGCCACTGATTTCTCTGAAAATAAAAATTATTCTTGAAATCCCCTATCATTTCTAAGCAAATTTGATCTCTTTGTTTTTTTAATTCGATGCACGATTTAAACAAAAATCTTTTTCGCTGCATTATATTGCCATGATTATGCAGCGAAACGGCTTTTATTTTTTTAAGCGAAAACCGTGCATCGGATTGAAAAAACAAAGGGATCAAATTTGCTTAGAAATGATTGGGGATTTCAAGAATAATTTTTATTTTCAGAGAAATCAGTGCCGTACCATCATTGTCTGCCAAAAAAAATGGGCATGTGAAATTCCGTACTAACGCCACTGCTGGAAATTAACAAAATGCCTCTGGATACATGCCAAATTTCATTAAAATATCTAAAGTGGTATTACAGATATTAATAATACTTGATTTATTTTTGAAAACTTTACCACCCTGTATCTTAAAAGTTAAGACGTTTAGGAGATAGGTTCATATGAAGTTTTCTTTTTAAAATGGATCAAAAATCGCCCCCTTAAATATTAACATTCAATTATGAAACACCCTGTATACAGGGTATTTGTGATCGATGTTTTTATACAGTTGCCAATAGGTCGTTAACGACGTTAACTGGTCAACCATTTTATTCCGTCGAAAGAAAAAGAACCGCCAGTTTTAACACAAGACTACAACCAATGAATAATACAACCTACATTCGAAAGGGCCACGAATGGTCCGTCGTTTTGACATGACAGTAACGGTACCTTTGCTCGTGAGTATGGGGTAAAACAAAATTGCAGTCACTGTGTATTACGAAAAAAATTAAAATATTTTTTTTTAGTTTTTCCTTTAGTCCAAATAATGTTCACATTGTTAGTAAAAGATCGCGACATAGACAGTCTGTTACAAAAAAAAAGGTCAACAGAAGTCGTTGGTGTAATCAGTCCTACCCACAGTGTGCATGGATGTATGCTCTTTCATTGAATGCATGATGCTATGTAAACATACTTAGTGACGTCATAATCCATGACGTAAGCGCAAACTGGGGAAAATATCACGCATAATTTTAATTAAATTACCAAACCCAGACAATAGGACGTAGTTTTCCTGAAGTATAAGTTCATAGTACACATTTCCCAATTTCCTGTGCGAGAAATTCTCCTATGATTAATTTATTCTCTATTTATTATGTTAGCTAAATAAGAAATATATTTCACTTGAAGATATAAACGTACAATAATATAATAAGAATATTTATTTTTGACATTCTGTTGACACTGCTTAGTCTCGTCTGGATATTTAACATGTAAAAAATACTTCATTTTCCGCAGTTTGTTAATAAACAAACTCTTGCCAAGCATTTTTAGTACCTTTACGAGGAGATTTGTTAAAAACAAATACATTAAGATATTGGTCCTTTGAGCCGAATTAATTTTTTTTCCGCTTTTCCGAATATTGTAGCTTACAACAGGTAAACAAATAAAACGAAATTATATACCAAATAGTATACCAATCAAAAAAATGTACGACATGAAAATACCAGTCACAGGGTCGACCGTAAACAATAAGCCATATCAGACTCATCCGAGGGTATAAAAGAAACAATGGTACACATCAAATAGTTTATTTAACAGAAGTTGATGATTTATACCGTCTTTCGTGGTCACGATTGCTAGATCTGTGCGGCTTCCTCGCGTGTCGTTTTGTCATATGGTGCTCTCTGCTCCGACTCCTAGAATGCTTTGATTTGCGATCACTTTGTACGACCGGTAACCGCTCGGGAGATTCCGACCACCTCCAATTCCGACCATCAATCTCTCGTCTAAAAAATCGCATAAAAAAAGTATTAGCACGAAACGTTAAGCTTACTCATCGATTTCCATTTCGTCCGTGGGTGTACGGTGTAAATCTTTATCGGCTGCCGTCAAAAAATTCTTCGGATTGGGAAAAACGTGCAAGAAATTGCACAAGGTACCTTTAGGACAACGTTGACGTGCGAATAATCCTAAAGTAAATGTCAGGTGAAAGTGAAACAAAAATGCAAAATTCATTACCGCAAATTGCCGATTTCCACGAGTGAATGTTACAAAATTCGACATGAAGCTGTTTACCGCCGTACCAACGGCAGTGAAACTTTTTATAACCCCTTATCGCCTCCCTCAAGTTACTATATTCGATGTAAACATTACCTCGGAGGTGAATCCCGTGATTACAGCAAACTTTAAACTGTTTGATGTACCCACATGTTTCCATTTCGGGAATGACATCGTTAAAGAACTCTTTAAAATGCTCATAAGTGTCTTGACTTTCAAATTCGAGCCCCGAATCGGTGCCGTGCTCATTTTCAGTTTCTTGCAGGCTGTAATGGGAATAGAAGTTCGGTATTAAAAGCACCCGACTGATGCCAGGTCGGACGTGATTTCTCGAGCATCCGTCTTTAAAGCGACAAGCGCCCGTCTTATTAAAGAACGGGCAAACCGGTTTGGCGGGGTTCGTTTCGAAGTTTGTGTTTAAACCTTCGGGTACCTCCCCGCCGTGCTCGACGAAGTAGTCAATCTGTTCTTGTAAACGTTGCTGTTGCTTCAGTTTCTCTTCGGCTTCACGTTCCTTTTTCTCCTTCAGCTCCTTGAGCTTCCTCTGCTCGCGTTCCCATTCCGCCTTGATTCGAGCCACTTGTTTCGCGCGCTCTTCTCGAGCGAGCACAAGTTTCTCTTGTAACACCAACCATTGCACGCGAGCTTCTTCCTCGACTTTCAGCCAGTGCGCTTCGCGTTCGGTAGCCAAGCGCGCTTCTTCTTGAGCTGCAAATTCTTCCGCCTGCGCTTGTTCCTCTAACCATGCGATGTATCGGGGCGACTGCTCGCGTGCCAGACGATCTTAAACGGAGACACAATTAACTCGAATCAACGAGGCTTATTACTCACCTTTCTCATTCTCATCGTGTAATTTACGGGCGATTGTTTGTCTAATACGCTTTCTTCTAGCTTTTTTGGCCAATTTTCGCCACTCTTTATGTCTAACAAATAATTAAGAAACATAACCTCACAAAAATTAAAGGTCGTACTTACGCTTTTGTTTAAACAAACAACATAAATATTACTTTTATTATAGTTTTATAAAAAAGGATACCTACTTTCCCATTTATTTTGGTGACTTAATTGTAATTTATTTAAATAATTTCAAATGAAAACCACTACCACAAAAACAATTGGCTACGGTGCTGCCACCTGTCAAAACATACAGGTTTAAATAGTGGATGCATTCGCCAAATTCAATAGTGGGTGCGTTCACTAATTTATTAAAATGTTAATTATGGCATTTTTAATATTTATTTAAAATTGTTCAATCGACTATTGTTCAATCGTTATTAATATAGCAATAAAATGGTATTCTGGGTCTCTATAAACTCGAAATCGCACATTATTGAAAAATCAGTGATCCAAAAATTTAAATTTGCACGTCGACCCCTTCGATTGTCTCGGTTTATTTGTAGTTCGCCTTGTCATAGTAATTGCTCCAAAAAACTCGAGCTATTTATATTTCAAATGGTGATAAGAATGATAAGATACTCCGATACCTACAAGGTTTCACAATTCAGAGAATTCGTGTTTTTAATAATGGACAAAGTAAGATCGTTTCTAAACTGTAAAAATATTCATCAAGGGAATCGAGTTATAATTTATAAGTAGACTATGACTATGCCATAGAAACAAATTATCTTTATCATTATCTAACAAGTGCTCAAACGAGTAGGTATATAAGCACGTTTTATTTGTAAAAAACCCACTTTTTAAAAATGAAGCTCATTCAACTGTGCCTCATCGCGACCTTCCTTGGAGTTGCGACAAGCAACACCATTCAACCAAGAACGTACAATTTTACCACCTTCAACTTCAAACAAATCATCACCAAGAATGACTTGGAACAACTGCAAAGGTAGGTCGAGCTCGCATTTTTGAAGTTACCAACTCTAAAAATTTCCAGACATAGCAGATCGGAACAGGTGGCGGTGATGAACGAGTACATTGACGAATTTCTGGAAGAACTGAACGAATTCCTCATACTGCAAGGTATGGATCCAGTAAGTTTACCCGATCAGGTGAAGCGATTCCAGTGGGTACGTAAGGGTGGGTTTTGCGAGACGAGAGAGAGAGCAATGTTGATTTTACAGACCATATTCTGGGGGGAGGTGTCTTTGAAAGAGGGTTGGTTGCAAGGAGTTGGCACAATTCAACGTAATGGAGACGTCACCATTAAATACGAATACCCCACCATGAGAGTGATCTTTCCTTTAAAGTTCGGACACTTACACGTATGAAGTATAATTCAATTCGAACTATTGGTGGAATCATATCATTAGATCATTAAGAAATAGCCAACAGAAGTAAGGTATGGTTTCTTAATGATCTAGTGATCGTGTAAACCCACCACGAGTTGACTATGACCCATCGAACCGCATAATACACCTACGTTTCAGATAAGCTACGACTACCTCGCGCAATTCACTTACTTAGGTCCTAAAGGGTTGATGTCCGGTTCGGTGAAAGGAACGCAATTCTACTTCGACCTTGAGGTAGATATGGCAACACTGCTGGTGCGCTTGAACAAGTATGACCTTGAAGATTTGGGGTACGTCCTAGCGTTGGAGGAAAACAGAAAGTGTAAATTTCAAAAATTGTAGATCCATCTCGCTGACGTTTCACGGAGGCATTTTCGAATGGTTCGCGAATATGTTGATATGGGTCGTTAAACCAATACTGAAACCCATTCTCCAGTTGGTGCTTTATAATTTCACCCACGGCACGATCGGTGGGCTCATTGAAACTTACAATGCGCTGGTTAATCAAATACTGGGAAACATTGTATGAACTAATTTGTCAAGTCAAATTTTGTAACGAATGTCTTGTCTGTTAGTAAAGAGGTTAAATATGTTATTGAGCCAATGGCCCCTTTTTCTAATGATTTCTGTCTACATACTGGATCAAACTGGGGTTAATTCTATCATTCTACGTGTTGTGGTTACTCAGAAAAATATTACCCTAGATAATGAGACCTTATTTAGACAGAAGGCGTTTGCCCCCCCCCCCCCATCCTCCATCATATTTTACACCCTGTATATGGTAAACTGAGATGAGCTCGGGTTCTGATTATGGTTACGTTCATCGGTGATCTAGAAAACAAAATTAAAAACCAGAATTTCAAGTCTCCTAAACCCCTTCCATTTCCGCTTGTACAGCTTTCGAAAGGGTCCCTGAGCCCAGAATTGTAACTGACGATTTCAAAAGCTTACCACAAGTTTTCAAGTACTTCCCGGAGATTTCTTTTAGGTTCTGGATAACGCTTTCAAGAACTCTCCGCCCCGGGAAGCGGCCAGAAGGCTCTAGAATGTCAGTCTAAAAAGTTCCTTCCACAACTGTCCAGCTAGGCCCTTTCCTCGCCATCGTAGGTCAATGTTTTTAGGTCATCTTAAGAGATTCTCATACTATTTACAAAGTACTTCTGGTAACTGAGTACGTCCAGAAAGGAAGCTCTGGAAGTCGTTCAATTTCGAAATGATATAAAAAGCTTTAGGCAACATCAAAAAGCCTAAAGCAGTGTCCGCCATTTTGTAAATGTTTTCTAAAATATTCCAAGGTTCACATAAATGCTTCCCATAGCACTTAATAGGCCATTTTAGGACAAGATAAGATACCTATCTAGTATCTATTCTTAAAACGCCGCAAGTAAAGGTGAAATTTCAATTAGTATCCGCTCCCAACAGATATCTTTGATGATATTTTCTTATCAGCACTTGAAATTGAAGTGCCAATCATGAATGACACGTTGCGATATCCTTGGTGTATCCGACTGAAAATGCAAGTGCACGTTTATTCTGAAAAATGAGCTGTAGTGTACTTAATACCTCAGGTTCACACTACAGTCACGGCAACGTTTAAAAATGCCCATTTGAAATCGAAGAGTGACACGTGATCCAATAGTCTACTGCAGAGCCCCCTTACGGTATAAGTTAACAACGCTATGACTTGAAAAACAGTAGAAAAGGAATCCAAATAGAACAATGTAATGGCGTGATTTTGTTATCATGCTTTATTATCAATCATTTAATTCAAAAAATTATCTTGCCCATTGGAAAAATTTTCACTATACTGCTCATTCGAGATTATTGACTATAAAAATAACGCTTATTCAATATACTAATCATGTATTTGCGATTTGATCAGTTATTCTAATGAGCAATGACCAACATAATAAAATTTTTTTCAATGAGCTAGATTAAATGATTGATAACAATCCATGATAACAAAAAAAGATTCCAAAAACATGCTGTAAAACAAATAACTGATTGCGTTACAAGCAGGCTATAAAACAACAACAACAAAAACAAGAGGTGTTTCGTGGAATACAACCCCTTTTCTTAAAAGCTACATGGAAAATTACATGGCATTGGTGCGCAAATTCAACCTTTAAACTACGAAATATAAGGACGCTAGTAAATCACAACTAATATCGCACATTGGGTCAAAACCGCCGAGTTTTTTGTTAACAAAACCTCACCCTTGGGACGCGGAACTTGCCCCTCGTTCGGGAAGTGCCAGCGTAAAGATCAACTACTGTCTTAGATGTTTTAGTCCCATCCCTGGGATTGCCTCTTCATGCCAAAAAGTGTTAGAGAAGAAATGCGAATTGAGTTACTAAAGAAAACAAAATTCGTTTACATCAAGGGCACAAAAGACATGCCACACATGAACAGTCGTGAGTCGTCTCCTCTTATGCACTATCTAGTAACAGCACGATCGTACTTTTAATGACTTAATACTTTATGGGCAGTTAAAACGGCTTGATAGCTGCGTGCATAAAACGTCTCCTTTGCCTTTTCTTAGTCCATTTCAGAATGAGGCTGTTTTTAGTGCTGTTCTGGCTCACTTCTGCCAACGCAAACGAAGACGTGCCGATTCCTGACTTTTCGACCGACACTCTAAACAAATGGGTGGATTTTGGCATCGATTCCATGAATAAAGTGACCATCAATCAAGGATACGACCCGGTTGCAATGGACGACGTAGAGAAATCATTTTCAGTGGTAAGTACCAGGAAAAACCCGCACGTTTTAGTGAGGCCGGCTTTCAGAGTGGACTTCTTTTCACGTACGAAGCCAGTTTTCGTCTTACATCGGGGATCTTGAATGGATTGAGCACGATGAAGCGTACCAAGGATATTGTCTATTCCAATAACGACACCCATATCCACATCTCTCTTCCATTGGGATTTGATACGCTCACAGTGATAACTCAACCGTCAGCTTGCGCACTTTAAAACTGACATTTGTAGGTCGAGTACAACTATAAAGTCAAAGTCTTAATGATGAAATCTGGCGGAAATATTTTCGGAAAAATCAGCGACTGCTCACTGGAACTTGATCTCGTCGTAGATATGGCAACGTTGCACATAACAGAGACAAAATTCCACTTCAATCAGTTAAAGTTAGTGACTCCTCACTGGTTGGACTGTGTGAAAGCTGACGTTCAACTTTCAGTGACATTTCCGTAACCTTCACCGGAAACATCTTCGACTGGATTACCAACAAACTCGTCTCTGTAGTTAAACCGATACTCATCCCCGGGATCAACAGCGTTTTACAACAGCTAACAAGTAAAGGGCTGGACTCAATCGCTAACGGCTATAATGATGGAGTCGATAAAGTGGCGGAGTACTCAAAATCTAATGAGGGCGAAATTAATGATTTTCTGCAGAAGTGCAGTGAGATGTTGCAGGGTCTATCAGTCGCTAATTAATTTTTGTGTTAATAAAATAATGCAGTTGTATTATAACGAGTTTTAGTGTTCTAGAAGTTGCATTCGATCGTTTTGGACAGCCTCATAAGACTCTGCATTTCATCTACACTACATGATTTTGGATAACCTGGCGCTTAATTATCTGAAGTACTTTCTAGAGACTCTAGAAACACACGAAAAACCGAAGAGTTTTTGTTAGCTGCCCCTCTCCCCTTCCCAGAGATTTGGAACTTGCCCCTCGTGCGAAGTATCCAAGCCCGCAGTTGCGATTCCAAATCAACCACAGCCTTAGATATCGTAACTAGTGTGATTACAATACTTCTATCCCTGTGATAGTCTCTTCAGGGCGAAAATTGTAACTTCCACAAATTTGAAACGAATGACCAAAAAATCTAAATTTAACTTGCGGGCCCAAAACATAACCATACATTGAGCAAACAATTATACCAAAAATGAAAACAATTTCAAACAATAACAGTGGGGGATGGGAATACTGTAACCACACATAGTTACGACATCTAAGACTGTGATTGATCGCGAATCTCAACTGCAAGTTTCGATACCTCGCACGAGGGGCAAGTTACAAGTCCCCAAGGAAGAAACTCTGCTAACACCAACTCTTCGCTTTAGAATCTATGTGCGATATGCGAGTAATTCACTAACTTCCACATATGTTGTAACGTTGAATTTGGCTTCCAAGGTCATGTAATTTTCCATGTTGCGTTTATGCACCTTCTCATAATTTAAATATATTCTTAAGCCATCCCGTTTAGTTAAGATGTAAGTTATCCTTATAGCAGATTTGTTATTACCTTAGTTCCTTATTTTTGCAGCTAGAGGTCGTGCGAGTGTTATAGGTTTCATTGACTTTACTTCATACTTTTCCGCTAGAGGTCTTGCAAACGTTTAACTTGGTTTTCCGTACAGTTGCATTTTCTTCTCGCAGAAAAGATCTGGTCCTCACAGTGGTTACGTGCAAATTGTTTTAGCTATCACTTATTTCTGATGTGTTGTGGCTGCTCCGTTGAATATGGAATAATTAGCGGATTTATATGTGCAAGTAATCAGTGGGAGGTATTGCATCGTATGGTTGGCACCAGGGGCGGACTGGCCCGGGGGGGGGGGGGGCGATTGCCACCTGGCCTGTACGTCATAATGGCCCGTTGGAAATTTATAAGTATGTGCTGTATTTAGTTTCTTGCACTATTAATAAGTTATTAACACGTTTCTCTAATTGGGGTTGATATTAGGTTGTTAAAAAAATCTGTTTTAATTGAAGTGTTTTACAATGAATTTATCATTTTTTGTCGTAGCATGAAAGTGATGAAATACAATGATAGGCGACGCGCCTCGTTTGGATTGTATATTTTGTTACTTTTAATTATCAGCTGCAATTTTAAAAAAACCTGTATTGTAATTGATTTCCGAAAAAGGAGTACTTTAAAATGAAGCAAAAAATGTTTTTGTGGTGCACCGCAGAGCTACCCCCCCGCCACCTTCATTACTACACTAATATTTTAATGGCCCGTGACCTATGCAATTCCACCTGGCCCGCCCCTGACTAGAAACCAATTTCGAAAGAAAATTCAAAGGGCTGTAACTTTTGAACTAGTGGCCCAATCTTGGAACTGTTTGAAATTATGGATTCTACAGGCCACATTCTATAAGAAAATTTTTTCCGGGTCGATCTGAGACAATTTTTTTTTCGGGGCTCAAAAAAAGGCAGTGTATAACCTTCCTTTTTTACCAAAAATTGACTGCACCAAAATTTCTCGGGAAAACACTTTTTCTTATTAATTTTGGTGCGTAGAATCCATAATTATCAGCTGCAATTTGAAAAAAAAAACTGTATTGTAATTGATTTCCGAAAAAGGAGTACTAAAATGAAGCAAAAAAATGTTTTTGTGGTGCACCGTTAGAGCTAATTTTTGCATTTCTTCATATATCGTATTTGTGTTTTGTGTGCCGCATTTTATATTTTTTGTGTGTTGCAATCTTTGTTTTTAAAACTCACTTGGTTTAACCGCAATGCAGAATTACATGTTTAATACCGTTATCCTATTGTTTACGTTTTTGGTGTAATGTTTGCTTAATTTATGTTTATTGATAATTTTATTTTAATATGTGGAAATTACCGATTCGTTTGAGGTATGTACTGACTTGTTGTTTGTTACTAACAATTTTCTCCGTGAATGAAGCAGTCACGGGGGTGGTAAAAAAATGTAGTCAAAATTGAAGTACGACACTTAATTCCGTGATTGTCTTCGACATCCAACTGTAGGCTCGAAACCCCGAAACCAGGGGCGGGCTACCCATCTTGCAGGAGCGGGATTACGCTCAAAGCTCTTCAGTTTAGAATCTATGTGCGATAAATGAGTCACATCCTGTACTCTTAACCCTTTCTCAGAATTTAGGTACCTGCTCCTATCTGACCTATTGTTCCCAAAAACTTGCTTTTAGCCTTGAGTGTAACCAACATTGCGTATATGCACAAACGCCTTGTAACCTGGTTCAGTATTGTACCTTCTTTCTAGAGCTGACTAGACTTTCTCAAACCAAAAAGGCCCAGAAAAGTGCCGGAATCGTTCAAGAAACTCTGAAACGGGACAAAAAGCACAAGAAGAACTAACGACGTTTCCATCAAACTCAGATTTTGGGGGTATTGCCACCTTTTCCTTTCTTTGGGAAAACGTTCGTATTAAGATTAAGGCGCAGATTCTGATTACGTAAAAACTAAAGATGAACAACATCTATCTAATCGCGTCAGAAATATTCGGTGATATCGAACAAAGGGGTTTCTTATCATCAATCTTATCGATAGGTATAAAAATGACTTTTCGCACGAAAAGAACACATTTTCAAAATGAAACTCATAATTTTGTGCTTCTTAGCCGCTCCCCTCGCCGTTGTGGGCAGCAACCTCATCCAACCACGAAGCCTCGAGTTTGAGACGTTCGATTTCAAACATCTCGGATCGAAAGATGACTTTGTGCAACTGCAAGGGTAAGCTCTAAAGTTTTGAAACGAACACCGATCAAGCGGCGTTTTCAAGGTTAAGCACGAGGGAGCAAGTGGCGGTCATCAACGACTACATGGACGTCTTCCTGGTCGAACTGAATGGATTTATTGCGGAGCAAGGGATGGATTCGATGAAGTTGGATGACGTGGGCGGCAAATTTGGATGGGTACGTCAAAGTCCGAGTAGGTAACTTGAGGCAGCATTCGAATGTTACAGACCATATTCACTGGCGAAATGTCATTGACCAATGGCATTGTGAAAGGCCTAAACTCTGTTGCACGGGGCGGCGACGTTACTCTGAGGTACGAGAATACGGTCCTTAAAGCCAGCCTGCCTATAAAGTTGGAGAACGTAAACGTAAGCAAAAACCAGCGCATTGCTCCAATCTCAAGCTTCAATTGCAGTTGAATTACAATTACGCCGTTAAACTTATGAACCTAGGACCGCACGGGCTACTCAACGGTACCGTTAAAGGATGTCGAGTGCTGCTGCAAGTCCAGATCGATTTGGACACGCTTTTAGCGAAGCTGGACTTGTACAAGCTCGAAACCCTTGGGTAGGTTTGCGGCGGTAGAGAAAAAGATGGGGGTGCTTACTTTATGTCAATTTGCAGAGATATTTCGCTGAAATTCCAAGGAGGTATCTTAGAATGGATGGTGAATTTGTTTGTATCAGTCGCAATTCCATTGATTAAGCCAGTTCTGAATTGGGCAATTAACACCTTTACTCAAGGAACAGTGGCCGGCCTCATCGTTAAATACAATGATGTCATCACCAAATTATTGGAAAGTCTCAATAATATGTAAATTATGACTATTCATAGTTGATACATGAACACAAATTAAATAATTACAACCATCTGTAATCGTGGGTTCTTTTATTTCCCTTTGTTACAAAAAAATTGGGCCGGTTTTAAAAGTTGATCATGGGATAATCTCTACAAATGGCAATTTTTAGTGGAGGGGGGAAGCGTGCGCTAATGGCCGTTTTTTGACACGTGTTCGACCTTGAATCTGCCCAAGGGAACGAGACGAGTTGGAGACGAACGGATCTAGAGCGTGTTCGCACCTCCAGATGCAGTATGGACATACAGTACATGTTTGCCAAACTTATTAACAAACGTCACGATGGCGCACAAGTGTTTTAATACTTCAAGTCAATCATATGTCAATTTGGCATCATTGCGTTATCGAAGAATGACGCAAGAAGCATTTAGTTCATAAGACCCCACACTGCATCTGGAGGTGCGAATTTGCAGTATAGAAAGTAACTATACAATAAAGTGCTGTGGGAGGTATCAACCCCCCCCCCCTCCCCCCTCACCATTACCGCTCCACAGCACGAATGCAATGTCATAGAGGCGCAGTGTAAAAACTGCATACAGCAGAATCGTGGACTTTTCGACCGACCTGTCCACTTCAGAAGGTTCAGAGGTTCAAAAATATGAATAATCGCCGCATTAATTACTTTCACCGTAACATACTCGTATACCTTTATTATTAAATCTATTTTGGTCTTTTGCCACCCAATTTTTTACATACACCCTGTATACACACATTGCTTAAATAGCAAAAATATCGATTTCAGCGCAAGATATGAATTATCAAATCGATAAAGAGCGTTTTTTCAATCCTTCGAATCCATCAGATACCTCAATTACTGTTAACCTACGTACCAATTATTTAGATTCCTCAAAATTTCCTGTACCCTCTTCGAAATCCTTTAGATTTCTTGATTCCAGAGATTCTTTGGTTTTTGATCTTTCAGTGTCTTCTATAGTTATTCGATTCTTCCGTTTCGTCGCTCTTTTCAATTCTCCGAATTCGCCCAATTTTTGGAATTTTTCTTTTTTAAGAATAATTCCTTCAGAGTCTCTGTTCTATTGATTCTTCAACGTTTTCCTATTTAAAGTTCTTTGGATTCTTTCGTTTCCTTGGATCTTCCACATCCTTCAGTTTCTTCGATTTTCTGCTTCTTCAAATCTTTTAGATTCTTCGAAATTTTCCGATTCTTCATATCCTTCCAATTTCTTCTGATCTATGGGATTCTTTGAATTTGTCTGTTAATTTGGTTTGTTTATATTCCTCAGGGTCTTAGATGTACCCAATTCCTATAGTTCTTTAGAATCTTCCCAAATTCTCCAAATTACTTATTTTTAAAATTCTCGAACCTTTAGAATATGTTGGATGCCTCAGCTTCTTCGGGATACTTCCTGTAGCATTAGGGTTGTAAAGTCTAATGTACACCATCCGGGTCGAAAGACCAAATTTAGCATTAGAGTTGCAAGGACGAATGTACACAATCCGGCTCGAAGGACCAAATGTAGCGTTAGGGTTGTAAATCGTAATGCTCACCCAAGCAAATTTACACACAGTAAATTCGGTAGCGGATTATCTTATAACTCAAAGCCGACAGTGCGAAGATGGTTAACTGATAATATTTATTGCAAGCGTTACATGTTAACCTTAACCTATGTTAATTATGTTAATATGCAAGAAATGCTGAATACTGTGCTTAATATTATTTGACTACCTTTGCAGTTTACTTCCTGCTAAAAACGTAGTATACTTATACACATTTCCGTATTGTTCAGCATTTCCTTGTTATTTTTTGCGATTATATTTCCTTAATTTTGGCGGTAGCTTCAAATCTGTTCTAAATAAGCATCGTGAACTGCCAGTTGGAAAAGAGATAAGTAGTTGTGAATCAGTTCTAACACTTCTGTTTACACGACTTTTTTTCAATCTTTCAGTTCTTTGAAATTCAACTAGGATTTTGTTTTTTTTTTATTTTTCCAATTCTGTGAGATTCTTCATTCTTATGACGGCACAGATTTTTTAGGTTCTTTAGATTCTAGATTCTTTAGATTTTTTCAGGCGTTTTTCTGATTCTTTCATTCTATCGAATTCAGGGGCGTTTTTCAGAACGTTCCTCTATTTTTTATTCCAGATCCTTTAAGTTTCTGCATATTCTTCGAATTCCTCCGGTTCTTTGGACTATTAACGTTATCACTGTATTCTTCGATTTTTTAGGTTCCCCCAATTCCCACCTTCGGGACGATCGACGGCTACAATTGTGAAGATCACGAAGCGAGAAAACCCCCGGCGCCCCTAGTCAGATTTGTTCAATTCTCACACGTTACACTTTCTCCAGTTTTCATACTTTACGATTTTTTTCTAGACCGTTGGGATACATAGCCGGAAGGTCGGGTTTTCGAACCGTGGTTGAGATAAGAATTTTTCATCTGTGACAGAGATGGGAATTTCCTTAGACCAGTTTCGAGCATTCTGCCAGCTACTCCGAATTAGGTTTTCCTGCAGTTTTCCTAATTCCTAAGGTAAATACCAGAGTAGTATAAAACAGCTTAAGACCTTCTGCAGGGGCATTATGCGGGTCGCTCTGTAAAATAAATGAATACCCGATCTCGGATTCTTTAGCATGTTCAAATTCTTTCAATTGATCCTATTCTTATTTCTTCTATTTCAATTCCTTAGTTTTCCATAATTTCTACGATTTTGTTCTTCTAATTTACCGCAAATTCCAGAAATCTCGGTAGAGTGCCATGAACGATTAGTCATCGGCGATAAAAACGAAGGCAGATGTGACACAATCTTTCCGGGAAATATGACCTGTTTTGTTCTGTTGGACAATATTCGGGAGCGTTCGCATTTGCTATGTAAACAAACCGAATTGCGTTACAGTTCAGTTCCAATTTTGACGCTAAAGTGATAAATAATATTTTAGTTGTTATAAATCAATTCATTTCAAGACTGTTATAAATTTATTGTTAATTAATTGTAAATAAATAAAGCACGTAATTAAATTTACGTTACAATATTTTAATTTTCTCTTTTAATTATATGGCGGATCCGTAGGTTTTTTCGGAAGTCTCAGATATTTCAAACCTTTTAATTCTCACATTGGCTTCTTGAAATTCTTTAGATCCATCTAATCCCTTAGATTTTTCGATTTTCTCATTTACACTCGTCAGGATTCTTAAGATTCTTTCGATGTTTCGAATTGTAAGTACCTAATGTTTATCTTCTTCATAGTATCAACATTACATCAAGGAATATTCTAACGGTACCGATTCATAAAACTGCTCTATATCAACGTTCATTCAGTTATAACATCTGCGAAATTTATAATTCCCTCAGTCGGCTTTAAAATCTTGTGCCACACCGTCATTTAAGAGACTCCTTTACTGCAGAATCAATAAATTAATGGCGTTTTCTGTTCTTTTGCTTGTTTCTCCAATATGTCTTAGCTGCCATAAATGATTTGACAATTTATTTTAAAAAGGTTAAGTGGGAGAGCAGATGGTATGGATGCCGTACCAATCTGAACTTCGCCCTTTTGGGTTGTCACATAAATTATTCTTTAGTTAAATTTGTAAACCGCAACTCAATAAACGACTTTTATTATTATTATTATTAAATTCTTTGCCTTATAAGAAAATGTTTTTAGAAAGATTTTCGGACATACTCTCAGAAATTTATTCAGATACGCTTTCTTAAAAACCTTCAAGGGGGTTGTCAATTTCATAAAAAAATGTTCTTGTATGTATTAAGAAGAGTGTATGATTTTCTCTAGAACATTGCGATTTCCATAGTAGAATGTCGCGAGAAGTAAATATTCCTTGAAAGAATCGTTTTGAAAGTCTTCTAAAAAATTTAACGGAACAAATTTTCTAGATAATAATCCAGAAAGACTTTCTGCAGTCTCAGAATTTTTTTTTAAGTACCTTTCATTTTTAAAAAAAAGAAAATAAACTCATAATAACAATCAAGTAATCAATTTTCAAGGTTTTTTAAAAGACAAAATAACTTAAAAATCGGCATTATAATAACGAAGTTACTAGTTACTTCCGGTATTTCCAAAAGTGCCACCATTTTGAAAATATTTTACATCGATTCCGCCTCCTAAGAACAAAATTGTCAAAAACCTACCGAATCTGAGGCTCCCAAAAAACCTCCCTGTATATAGTTTGGCTACGCCACTGTCTAAGCCACTGAATGCGATCAATATTTATACATTACATTGAGGTTATGTAACTCTAATTAAAGTTTTTATTTTATTTTCCTTGCCCAAGCTAATTAACTAATTAATAAGCGGAATAAAGCACAATGACTTTAATAGACTATTTAAGTTCTTTATCCGATAACCCCTACTTCGGTGCCGGTTTCGGATTGTTCGGGTTAGGCGCAGGGGCCGCGGTTCTACGCAAAGGGCTGCAGGGCTCGTTAATACTATTTAGACGACATTACATGATAACGTTAGAAGTTCCGTGCAGGGATAAGTCGTATCAGTGGATATTGCAGTGGATGACGTACAAGGGTGCGAGACAAACTCAACATTTAAGTGTCGAGACGAGCTTCGAACAGAAAGAGACGGGGCAAATTAAGACGAAATACGAGTTCATTCCCAGCATCGGCACGCACTTCTTTAAGTATGGATTTTGGTTTTTTGTTGTGGAGTAATGCTTTTGTTAGGTATGGGGGTACGTGGATTCGTGTCGAGCGGACCCGTGAGCAACACACCTTAGATTTACACATGGGGGTGCCTTGGGAGACGGTAACTCTCACGGCGATCGGAAGAAATAAACAGCTATACTTCAACATGCTAGAAGAAGGTAAAGATTTGCTAGAATTCAATGCGAGATTTATAACATTCGCCAGCTAGACACATGGCTTTAAAACAGCACGAGGGAAAAACGATCATGTACATCGGAATGGGCAGTGAATGGAGACAGTTCGGACATCCCAGGAAACCGCGTCCCATATCCTCCGTGGTTCTCGATCAGGGAGTGAGCCAAAAAATTTTGAACGACTGTCGCGAGTTTATCTCGAATCCGAGCTGGTACACGGAACGAGGTATACCGTACCGACGCGGCTATCTGCTTTACGGGCCGCCGGGTTGCGGAAAATCGTCGTACATCACCGCGCTAGCCGGAGAATTACAATTCAGCATTTGCGTTTTAAACTTGTCCGAACGAGGTTTATCCGACGATCGACTTAATCACCTACTAAGTGTCGCTCCCCAGCAGAGTATAATTTTATTGGAGGATATTGACGCCGCTTTCGCCTCGAGGGAGGATTCGTCTCAGCAGAAGGCCGCTTACGAAGGTCTGAACCGGGTGACCTTTAGCGGGTTGCTAAATTGTCTCGACGGGGTGGCAAGTACCGAAGCTAGAATTGTATTTATGACGACAAATTATCTTGAAAGGTTGGTAGTTGGCTGATGGGTGTGAAAAAGGGGGAAGGTTAATAAAGGACAGAAGGTCAGAAAGGAACCTGCCCATTTTAATCATTGTTTTATCACCTCAAGAGGATTGGCTTTTTCACAAAATGTGATTTAGCACGATTCTAGGACTGCACTCCAAAAAGAATCAGGAAATTTCTTATGAAATAAGGGTGAAGGGGAAGGTTCAAGTGTGTCCATTAAAAAATTCTATACAATTTTCTTAATGTTTTGTGGGCAACAACTTGAAGTGGTTTAAAAGTCTGTCATTAGATGGCATTATAGATTTTGAACCATTTTCTAAAAAATTGTTAATAGCAACAAAAGGCAGATTGAAATTTTCGTACTGAGCTTGCCCTTTTATATCCTGTTTCCCATGGTGGGGTGCGCCCACGTGACTGGTACGGTGTTTGGTGGGAGCAGAGAGAATATGTAAACGAGGAGGACAGGTAAATGGGCGTCACAAGGAACATTGTCTGATAGTTACAACCAACGTTCATAGAGGCGTTGCAGGCAGTTTCTGGTTCCTTTTAGGGAATTTAGAGGCTCTAGGGGTTTGCAACATCAAAAATTGTCAATGTCAAAATAATGGTGTATTGTTTTTGTATATCTTAGGGCCAATTGCACCGTCAAAATTAAGTATCCCTTAAAGTTAAGCATAACTTAAATACCATAGCAACGATTGTCTATCTACTATAAAACATTAAAAAAATAACTTACAGGGTGTTTTTTTGGTAGGTCCAAAGTTGCAAAACTTCATATTAAAAATCACACTTTTTTTAAATGGAACACCCTGTATATTTTTCTGTCATTTTTTAGCTCTTCCAAAAACCTTCACTTTTGATAATAATGTCCTATACCCATCTCTGATATTTTTCAAAATATCTTGATTTTTCTGGTTTTTATATTCTAATCTTTTCTAATTTTTATCTATCATCCAAAACGAAAATCATATCGATTAATTTATTTTTCAAACAATTTATTTTAAGTCCAAAAACTGGAGAATAAGTAAAAATATTTCACTACAAAGCAAATTTAATTTAACTCCTAATGTCATACAGTCAGTGATATTAGTTTAATTTTTTTTCATATTTACCTCGCTATTATGTACTTATTTCAGATTAAACTGTAAAAACTAGGAAAACCAAGATATTTTTTATGTTTTTACTATCAAATTTATTCTCCAGTTTTTAGACTGAAATGAATTATTCAATATGATTTTAGCTTTGGACGAGGCAAATAAAAACTGCCTTTTTTTTGCATGGCCACCTCGTTATTATGTAAATTACGTACAACTTATTTAAGTAGTAGAATATAAAAACCAGAAAAACCAAGATATTTTGAAAAATATCAGAGATAGGTATAGGACCTTATTATCAAAAGTTGAAGGTTTTTCGAGGAGCTAAAAGATGACAGAAAAATATACAGGGTGTTCCATTTAAAAAAAGTGAAATTTTTTAACTTGAAGTTTTGTAACTTTGGATCTACAAAAAAACACCCTGTAAGGTATTTTTTTTTTCATAGTAGATGTATTTATTTGACTTTTACTTAACCCAGGATAAAAAATGTAAAACCTGGAATCAAAATTTAAGTAATAATTTTAACAATATACAGGGTGGTGACTTGCGTAACGCATCATAGGGATTTCAATCTAAAATTCATAACATGCGATTATTGGCTCCACAAATTATATTAGAATTTATTGCGAACTGCTGCTAATTGATAACTGGATATCTGTTTGTTTTAGAAAATTCCATGGCATGGCAGATTATTGAAAAAGATGTGGGTTTTATTTTTCCAATTTTTCGTCTTTATAATAATAATAATAATAATTGTATTTATTGTTCAACAGAAAATATTTCCAGTAACAGAACAATATAAAAATTTAGTATAAATTGCAGTGTAAGAAATATCAAAATATCACACAAGAGAAAAAAATAAAATAAAATAATAGTATTATGCAACAAACTGAAAACTAATCCGGTTGATTGACGTAAAAAATTTTTTTCTACAAAAAACCTTAATACATTTTTGCTCTAAAATAATTTGGGGAACCAATAATCGCATGTTATGAATATTACATTGAAATCCCTATGATGCGTTACGCAAGTTACCACCCTGTATACTGACGCTTGCAAATGCCCAATTTACTTAAAAATCGAATTATTTTTAAAACTACTAGTTTTTCGGATATTAACCATATAATAAAAAAGACGTACAGTTACACGTAGAATTCAAACTGCATTCAAATACAGGGGGTTCTATTTAAAAAATGTGCCATTTGGGCACCCTACTTTGTGGGCGCACCCTGTATAATTCCAAATTTTTTAAAATGTGGAGAATATTCAACCATATCATAATACAAAAGCACTATTGAAAAATCTTATCTTCAAGGCATTAAGAGAGAGAACGCATGATTTTTGTGAAAAAATGGGGAATGATTGCGGTACTTTCTATATCTAGTGACCAGAAAAAAAGTGCTTGCTAAAGGACTTCAATTACTTAGAGCTCTGTGCTTCAATTACTTTTCTAATTCAGGAAAAAGTGCTTCAATTACCAAGCACTTTTTAAAAGTGCTTGGAGCTTCAAGCCCTATTGAACTGCTTGAAGCACTTTCATACAATTTCGAGCACTTCTAAAGAGCTTCAAGCACTTATCAAGGGCTTCAAGCACTTATAAAGAGCTTCAAGCACTTATAAAGAGCTTCAAGCACTTATAAAGAACATCAAGCACTTATAAAGAGCTTCAAGCATTTTCAAAGAACTTCAAGCACTTTTTAAGGGCTTCAAGCACTTTCATAACGAAGCTCTTATCGTGAATTAGGTGACGAATTTAGAAAACCCTTAGTCTTACTCATTCCTTCACTCCTACTCTGACGTTACCTACGTGTTCTGTGCTTCATTAGTGATTAGTCTGCAGTCTGCACATCCCACTTTTGACTTTTTGGTTTTCGTATTGTGTGGTTTCCTGTGAAAGGGGTCGTAGGATTTTCCGAACAAAAAAAGGAAGAGGTAATAGTTCTGCCATTTATTAACGCTGCCCTATCATATTCAGGGCATACATTTTTTTTCGGGCCTCATAAAAAGGCAGTGTATAACCTCCTTTTTTACCAAAAATCGACTATACCAAAATTTCTCGGGAAAACACTTTTTCTTATTAATTTGGGTGCGTAGAATCCAAATCAATTCGTACTTTTTCGATCAGACTTCTCAATCAAAAGTTATAGACTAGAAACCAATTTGGAAAAAAAATTCAAAGGGCTGTAACTTTTGAACTAGTAGCCCAATCTTGGAACTGTTTGAAATTATGGATTCTACAGGCCACATTCTATAAGAAAATTTTTTTTCCGGGTCGATCTGAGACAATTTTTTTTGGGGTTCAAAAAAAGGCAGTGTATAGAAACCCTGGTTTCCAGTTTATATTTATATTAATTTATATTGTCAATTACTGTGATTCAAGCACTTTTAATGGCTTCAAGCACTTTCCAAGGGCTTGGTGCTTTGTATTTTCAATTACTTTAGAAAGTGCTTGGTAATTCCACATAAAAGTGCTTAGGGCTTGCAGGCACTTTTATCAAAACAAAGTGCTCAGTGCTTAGTGCTTCAAGCCCTTTTCAAGAGGGCTTTATCCAGCTCTGCTAGTGACTAGGACATACGTAATTAACAAAGATCTGTCCCATCTCGTTTACATATTCTCTCTGGGTGGGGGTATGACATTGTCAGCTTGCAGGTGACATTTGTGAAACAGCTGAAGGTAGTGTTGCCTTGATTGTCAAGCGCATGTCACGCAGAATTCTATAGTAAGAAGTTCAAAAAATTTCTTTGTAAAGTATTGTTTGATTGTATTTTTTTTCTTTTTCCAAAGATGGCTTAATACTTGCAATTGTTTAGACCTTGCAAAAAATGTGATATTTGTACCGGGTGGCCCAATAAAACTGTTTCTATCAAATAGAATGATATGACTTTTTCTTTATGAAAAAGCCAAATAACATCCAAAGAGGCCAGTGAAAACCGTTTTTCAAAATCTCGTTCCTAACTTCAAATATTGGGTAATGAGATTAATTAACTAATTAATTAATGGCGCGAAAGAAAAGCACCCTACACTTTTAGGTAGGCCTTGGAAAATTAAACAAATGAAACATGATGCATTATAAAATAATAACAGCCGTAATTTGTAAATTATTCTGCTGTGTTTACATTCAGAAAGTGCACTTTTTTGAATTTGTAATCTTTTCTAAAATACCCATTTCTAACCATGAAGCATTGAATATGCTGGCGAAATATTTTGAGTATTTTCAAAATGCGACCATCGCTGCCCGCATCTTCTATTTGCGTTATCCGAATCGACCACGAACCATCGCCGCCAGTACCTATATTAAATGCTTCTTGGTTAGAAATCGGCATTTTAGAAAAGATTACAAATTCAAAAAACTGCACTTTCTGAATGTAAACACAGCAGAATAATTTACGAATTACGGCTGTTATTATTTTATAATGCATCGAGTTTCATTTGTTTAGCTTTCCAAGGCCAACCTAAAAGTGTAGGGTGCTTTTCCAATTTAAGCATTTTTATTTATTAATTAATCTTATTTTTCCAATATTTGAGGTTAGGAACGAGATTTTGAAAAACGGTTTTCACTGGCCTCTTTGGATGTTATTTGGCTACTTTTTCATAAAGAAAAAGTCATATCATTCCATTTGATTTTTTTAGGATTTTGGGTCATAGTGTCAAAACTAGCCCCCTGGCGGAGAAGGATTCAACTAAATTAAATAACTGAGTTTTTGTTTTTACGAAAATTACAGGTAAACTGGTTCTTCTTAAAAATGTGAAAAAAGAATGTTTAGTTTATTATGCGAAATTTAAAGAAAATGCAATTTTAAAATTTAAGATGGCAGTTACGCCCTCTGGTGGTGATTTTTACAACTTGAAAATATTTTCCAGTGACCGATTTACCCAATAATCTTTTTTACCCCTAAGTCATACGACGAACGGTTCCCGAGATAGGACTGGGGAACAGTCTTATTGGGTCACCCGGTACGTCTTTGAACAACTTTTAACCGATTATCTTGGCGGGGTTGTTAATGTTATCTTTCATGGTTTTAAGGGAAGGTTTCAAAGAAATAAGAGGAACTCTTCCCCCTTTTCCACGCCCATCATCGAAATAATTAATAATTTACCCCCTTTTAGGTTGGACAAAGCGCTGATACGACCTGGTCGCGTCGACCTTAAGGAGTACATCGGATGGTGCACGCCATACCAAATTGAAAATATGTTCCTGCGATTCTATCGCGGTGCCAACATCAACAGCGAAGCCAAAGAATTCTCCGAGACGGTGCTCTCCTTCAAGAAGAACGTCAGTCCCGCCCAAATCCAGGGATACTTCATGGTGCACAAGCTGGCGAGTACGAGGGACGTAATTAATAACACAAAAATGATATGGGAATTGTAGACTTTACGTAATTACAGAATTATTTCTTCTTTTTCGACGGAGCCGACTTTTTTTTGAAGGGTCCAAGACATCTGCGCACCATCACTCCCCTCCACCAAGCCTGTAGCTTTATGCAAGCGCGCAGCCGTCTAAGCCTAGCCTCCTCGACCAATCGCCGCTTTTCCTTTAAAACCAAGTAGGCCTCGATCTCTTCCTTGCGCTTCTCGTATATTAACGACAGCTCCTGTAGCCGATTGAATTGCTCCTCTCGTTTCTCTTTCAGCACCTGAATTTCTGTATCGCGAGCTTCGATTTCGTTATCGTAACGGTCCATCCAGTACTGAATCTGTTGTGCGTAATCTTGTTCGGTTTCCGTTATGAACGACTCAATCTCCACGTTTATGCGTATTTCTTTTTCGATGTCGCTTTTTGTGTCTTCGATCGTTCTCGTGTAACTCGCCTCCGAGTGGTCGAGGGCGTAATTGTTCTGATCGAGTCGCGCTTCTTCCCAATTTTTCACGTAGTTTAATTTGATGGCGTTCTCAATTTTTAGGTCCTAAAAACATTTCATTTTAGTGCGCGTGCGCAGGTTTTAACGCACCTCGATTTGGTCCTTTAGCTTTCCGATAGATTTGGACAGTTGCTGTAGCTCGACCAGGCTTTCTTCCCTCTGTCGTTCCAAATTCTCCTCGAGTCCGTGGTACATTTCCAAATTTTCCTTGTGCGTCTCCAATATGTCATTTTCCATCTTTACATTGGCATTGTGTTGATTGATGTGGTCGATTAAGCAACCGTAACTGCCGGATTTCACGAGCGACTTCATCACTTCACCGAGAACGGTTTCGATGTAGGACCGATCGGTTTGAAAATTGACATACTTCGCCTTTTTCATCGACTCTTCGTACGGCTCTATGGTCTCGGGATCGAAGACTTGCACTTCGGCGACGTAACTGCCGAAACGTTCCTCGGGAGTTTTCTGGGTGAAATCCGCCGAAACCGTAGGCAAATCGCCAATTTTTCCTAAAATTGTCAATTGGTCGATGGCATCTTCCAAAACTGTAGCACACGCTATTGCTACAACGGGCGATAGGGTTGCATATTTATCTTCGGTATTGGATTGAGTCATATTTACATTAATTTAATACAACAAAAATGGGAAAAAAGGCATCAGAAAAAACTTCAATACTATACTGCTATATTACGACAGTATTATGTCAATAACGACTCCTAGCAACGCTTCAAATTAATTCTGTAGGGCTATCCCCTCTCCAAACCGTGCACCTCAGCTCTTGCAACGCTAGTAGGTGATCAAGGTAGGTGGAAAATTATTAAAAGGAAATAATCCTTACACAGTGTGTTCCAAATAAAACCGGCACTATTGCTAACTTCCCTTTTTGACAGGGTTTAAACACCTCGAATAATGACGGGACACACTGTATATAAGAAGAAGAAAATTGGTTTATTTCATTTGAATTTGCATTTCCGTAGTGTTATGTTTCCTTTTACAATTGTTTGTAATTGCATATTCTTATTAAGATTTGTTTATTTAATTGTCGACACACTCTAAAACTTAAATAGCTTTAAAGAATCCTAAAAACGTTTAGAGGCATATGCCCAAGTTCTTACCAGCTAAAATCTCTGAAGGACATTCAAATGCTCTGCTATTTTGCATTGAGAACATTTTAAACTGACCAAAGGGCATCATGTGGCTGTAAAATCCTTTTTTTAGTACAAAAATTCCACAATTATTTGATTTTCCAGGTTTTTTTAAACATTTTTTATTTGTGCTATTCGCCTATTTCAGTCAATCTACCGGTCTGTAACGCAACTACTTCCACTATTTTTCAGATACTGTAACGTTAATTTACTATTTAAAGAATGTATAAGAGGACTTATAGCAGTTGATACCCCCGAAACGGTTTTGCGCGATTTTCAATATCTTCTTTAGTTCGAATCATGGCCGATTGCAAGTTTTAAAATTGACACCCCGTATAACGTGGAATAAACACATCATATTTCCCGGTAAGAATGCGTCACATCCGCCTTATCGTCAGTGACTAATCTTTGATGGTGACCTGATGGCGCCACGATGTGGCTCTGGAATATTCGCTACAATGTATAAGATGCCTATACAAGGAGGTAGGTAGTCTATTTTAATTTAAGAAACCACAAAATAGTACCTGACAGGACACATTTCCCAAGTGTCCACATTTGGGAGTCCATCGGCGACTATTAACACCCCGAACATTGAGGATTTGTGCCTTAAATTTACATTCTTTGTCTCCCAAATTGTAAAATGTTGCATTCTAAATTGAAATGTGAAAATGTAAGTGCACCCCAAGTCTCATGTTTGAAACGTTGTTTCAGAATTTGTGGTTTGAAACATTTTTTGTGCCCCCTTCGAATAATACGATTAAAAATTGCAATATTCATTCATTTTCTTTATTTCTTTCTTCGGAAATTTTATTTAAAAAATACAATCGATAACTTTTAACCATGATCCCATATATGTGCTTATTTTGAAAACGGTAGATTATTTAACAGTAATGTCAAAGAAACTTTTTGTTTAAAATAGAACATCCCCCAGATTTTAACGTAAAAAATAGTGCACTAAATTCTTTTTTCAAAAATATAACACAAACAAAATTTCAAACAAATTAAAAAATATTTTTAAATGTTGTGCATCTTTTTGAATTTTTTTTGAAATTTTGCTTGTGTTATATTTTTGAAAAAAGAATTTAGTATGTATACTTATCTTGTTAAGTTAAAATTTAGAAGGTGTTCTATTAAAAAAATTAGGTTAGATGCAAGAACTTTTTTACCTAATACCGTATACTTATTTTAAAATCGTTATATTATTCATGATAAAGAAACATTTGTTTAAAACATTTCTTTGAAATAGAACAGACTCGAAATTTTAACGTACAAAGAAATAACACAAAATTTCAAAAAAGCTTTCACAATGATTTTTCAATTTTTGAAATTTTATTTGTTTCTTGTTAGGTTAAAATCTGTTTTATTAAAAAAAAATGTTTTGGTGCGATCACTTTTTACTTGATCTCATACTTATTTTGAAAATTTATTCAATAAACATGTTAACCGTTAAAGAGACTTTTGTCTCAAACATTTTTTTAAACACAACACTCTTTAGATTTTAACGTAAAAAATCGGTATACTAAATTTTTGTTTCAAAAAACTTCGCAAAGATCTTTTTTAGATTTTTTTAATTTCATGAAGTGATATATTTTTAGAAAGAGAATTATTAGTTATCCTTGTAGATTAAAATCTACAGCATGTTCCATTAAAAAAAAATGAGGTTAGGTTCGATAACTCCGTATACTTATTCTGAAAATGGTAGATTATTGGACAATCATTATACAGAATGTTTTGTAATAAACATTTTTCTGTATATCTTGTAACTAAGAAAATATACGGCCATTGACAATTTTTTGATTTTCCAGTATCTCTTAAGCGAAAGAATATGTTACCTTACTAAGCTTTATCCAAGAGTACATGACGCTTATATTATTTTTTGGTAGTACCAACACCGTATAAAAGTATCAAGAATGGGACATTAAGTACAGGGTGATTCAAATTCGTAGCTCAGGTTAAATAGGAGAAATTGTTGAAAATAAATAAAGATACGTGGGAAAATCAAAAAATTGTCAATTTCAGAGTAGAACTATATTTTCTTAGTTCTTAGTGACTTGATAAATGCCACATACTATGATCTCATAAAGTTTTTATTATTATTAGTTACAAGAGATACAGAAAAATGTTTTGTACAAAAATTCCATTATCATGATAGTTGAATAAATTCACGTTTGGAAAATAAGTATACGGGATCAGGTAAAAAAGTTATGGTACCTAACTTAAGTTTTTTTTAATCCCTCTGAATTTTAACCTGGCAAAATAATATCTATATCAAATTTTCTTTTCAAAAATATCACACAAACAAAAAATACAAGGTTGCTTCTTTTTTTTGAAATTTTTGAAAAATCTTTAATACGCCGAAAAACTGAAACTATACAGGAGTTATCAAAAAATGTCTTATAAAAAAGTTGTAGGGCTGTTAAAAATCTACATATCTGTCATACATTGAAATATACAGGGTAGCCCACAAACTTGTGGAGAATCAGCCGTTTGGATTTGTTTCTTTAATCACTAAAACGACATCGTAGATTTGATTAAAACACAATGCCTTTTAGTAGAAAGAAAGTTTCCCATAACGAATCTCATGGTTCCTATGCGATATTGATTAAATTTCGGCCGTGGGAATCCCGCATGTTTTCTTGAATCCATTTCAGTATTGGCATACGAGAGTGATCTTTTACTTTACGTATCTGAACTCTCGACAACCCCAAGTCGCGTGCTACCCTTATAATCGTACAACAACACCGGCTAACTACGGGGTGTTGCGAGCCCTCAATGGGGCACGCCAACAGATGGTGGCGATCGAAATGGTGGTATTACGAAATTAATCGCCCTCTTTATCTACATCTCAATTTTGACGGATTATTAAAAAGTCGCCGTCATCATTTCTAAATTTACATTCATCGTAGGCCAACTGGCGACTCAATTAGGTAGATGTTAGTTATGCAATTCGCGCTCTATAAATAAAATCTCTCTCGCTTAACGCCTTTTGTATTAATATTGCGCGAGGGGCTAATGAGGACGTCCGTTCTGGCATTTCTCCAAAATATCCGATCAACCTGTGGGAAATTGCCCTTTTGTACTAACTGTACGCAAATAGTCCGTCGTGCCGTCACGTTCTCAGATGCGGTACCTATTTTTTCTATGACGCGTTTTATGATTGCGTGTCCCGCATGAGATGAGACATGAATGTGTCGGAAGATATTGTGACCCTACGCAGTTGTAGTCCAATTGAGCGAGTTAACGTTAATTAAACTTAATGGCTTCTAAATTGGTTCAATTGAAAGGATCGTACAGACTTGCAACAAGTGCTTGCAACCTACAATTCCATAACTTTTTTTTCCTTTTCAAATATTACATTTCCGACATTTTTTCTTCACTGTTGCATATTTTAGTTGTTGGTATTCCATCGTCGGGATACTAATTAATACAGAAGAACTAAACTGAATTATTGGACATTGATCTACAAAGGTTTTATACAGGGTGGTCAATTTAATGGGAACCAACGTTCGCACACGTCAATTTGAATGTTCGTCTGACACTCACTTACCTCTTTATCTCTTATGGCGATGGCATAGAGCCACTAAAACATAGTTGGAAGAGTCTTCCTTATCCTTGAGTGTAGGACTGTTTTTAGATGTGATTGTTTAGCTGCGTGTCTAAATTCGTTACCAATTTTTGCTTGCGTAATTAAGAACACCCTGTATATGTAATGTAAGGCTAGCAGTAAGTCTCGATATACATAGACAAAGAGGCAAGAAAGAACATAAGGTGCAACAAGAGAACATGTTAAACCGAAACACGCATTTTTTTTTTCAAATAAACCGAAGGTCCAAAATATTTAATTTTTGGAGCCCCAACAGTTTTTTCATAAGACCATAAGAGATACACAGTCACTTAAAAAAGTTACGGATTTTCATTTTAGGGCTTAGACAAATGTTTTAACCATTCGGAAATTTCGATCAGTGATTGTCGAATACTTTGTCATTTTTTTAAATAATAAATGCCTAATAGCTAATAATTATTCAAAAATATAACACACCATGGATGATATTAAAAGATTCAAGCGATACAAAAAAATTCAACAAACGATTCCAGTGATTTAAACAATCTATAAAAGATTTTTGAGTTTTTGGTATCTTTTTGAATTTTTTTTGAATTTTTTAAAATCTTGTTTGTTATGTTTTTGAAAAATGAATTTAGTATGCTAACTTTTAATTCTGCATAGGTGGTTCAGCAACCATACGACTTAAAAATGACTACCTAGGTTTTTTGATTTCAAAAAAATTATGAAATTCCCACGCCCACAAAATTTGATAACCAAGGGATTTTCATCATATACAGAAGGCATTTTTTAAATATCGGGATAAATGCATTTAAACAAAAATCTAAAAGAAGATTTCAAAAAGATGAATGAATTTGTTGTATCTCTTTTGGACTTTTTTTTAAAATGTTGTTTGTGTGTTTTGAAAAGAAAAGCTTATCTATAGGGTATTCTATTTAAAAAAGTTAGGTTAGGTGTGATAACTTTTTTACCTGAATCTGTATACTTATTTTGAAAACGTCAGATTATTCAACAATCATGGTAAAGAAACTTTTGTATAAAACATTTTTCTGTATCCATTGCTACCAAGAAAATATAAGGTTGTTCTGAAATTGACAATTTTGAAAGAAACCTATGTGTAAAACATTTTTTAAATAGAGCACCCT